GAATATATGAAGACTGAAACCAACAGATAATGACCCCGTAATAACGTCCTTTAGAAGTAACTAATTGAATGCTAGCTGACACAGTATAAGGCTGGAAAACAGCTAGCTAGTGGTGTTCAAACCAAAACATGGCTTCATCAGTCAATGAAATCCACAACAGTTAGTTTAAGCCACATAGGAAGGTGAAGACTGGCTTCCTGACTGGTTCGGGTCCTCGGGACGCTAAAAACCAATGAAGGCTGGAAACAATTGGTAATCTGGCACAAAATCGTTCTCAATGGCTGGTGAAGATGCATTCACTCCTTGTGACCCCATAAAACTATATTGTTCTTCGTTATTACTATTCCTTTGTCTCACACCTCTGTTTACTGTCTCTATTATGCATTTCTTCTACTTTCTTCTGTTGCTTTGTGTGCTACAAGGTGGGAGTGTGGCGACTTGAACTGGTGCACATCGGTGCAAAGTTATATGTCGAAAACAGACAAACAGACAGAACTAATGGAATATATATACATATATACTGATAATGTTGTAGTTATGCAAACTTGTTGCTAACAAGCGTAAGCATTTCTGACTTTCAGTGGTTGTATCCCAGGATTCGAAAGCATACCGTCTACTTCAGTCTAGCAACTGGATGATACCATCAGTCAGGAGCTGAGGTTCATTAGATTAATCGTATAATTCTTAATCAGTTGCAGATTCCAAACCCTCAGCAGTTTACTGGGGGACTGGTGCATCTAACAGGTTTATTTCATAGTGAAAATAAGAAAAATGCTGAGTAACCTTTATTAATTTGCTTTGTGATGATGAGGTTGACCAAAATTCTGAAAACACCAGTAATAATAAGTGCTGAAAGCTGGCTGTTAGCCACAATTGGTGGACAGTAATTTACGTCAATGTTTATGTCCCGAATATTGGTCGTGAGGAAAATGAGAACAAAGGCTTTGCGTAGGCGGATACAGTTAACATATCGATGATCTGATATTCAAGAAACAGTCACAAAGAGACTCAAGGTTAGCTTTCTGTGAGAAACAACCAACCAGAGGACTGTGTTTTTCTGCTAACAATAATCTATAATAATGTACATGAAAATCTATAAATATGTGTTGATATTTTTTAATAAACGATTTGTTGCCTGGCCCTTGTCTTCTGTTGTTACAAATACATGATATTATGTGCAGCTTTTAAAACTGAAGAATTATGTTCAAAGAAGGAATAATGTGAACCATTACACAGAAGTGTAATATTCAAAATTACCAAAAATCGTCAAGTAACAAAAAAAAGAAACCATTAACTGAAGCAGAATAATAATAAGATTAAATACAGAAGTGTAAATGGGAGTGGGATGATTTTTAAATGATTCCTTCTCTGACGAATAGCCTAAGGTTGAAGCACTGACAATCACCAAGAGTTTGTTCGTGGGGATTTGATTTGTCTCAAGTGTGCCCATGGATTGATATGAGTAAGAGAACTATAGAAAATCAGTGCCAGATTATTGGACAGCTAACTGTTTTGTGCTGGTTTACGACTCACGCAACGACTTTACGCAACCCCCACAAGGGTTCGAACCCCGGATGTTGCGGCTACAAGGCAAGGTAGTTGACCATTCAACCACTGGGACTAGATCCAATTGCCAGTCGATGAATTCTAACTACTACTACTACTACTACTACTACTACTACTACTACTAATTCTTGATTTCAGTATGACTGGCACCGGCCAACGTCATCGGTGACGAGTATTTGTCCTCAATCCCCATTGCCTATAGAAAGAGATACCTTCAGTGAATAGCTGAACTATCAGAAGTCCAATATTACTGGTTTATAATTTCGAAATTCGTCTTTTTTTTTAGTGGAGATACAACTGAACCCGGTCAGAAGTGAGGATAAATACTCACAGCCGAAGACATTCGTAGAAGTTAAAATCCATGAGCCCTTGAATACGGTTCCAATGGCTGAATGGTCTATGAGCATGGTCATTTTAACACAGAGGGCTTGGGTTCAAACCCCTATGGTAGATGCGTACTGACGATGAGTCTAAAACTAGGACGAAACAACTAGCTATCATCCAGTACTCACTCCGGTGCCCACTTTCAAACATGATGGAAATGGATGAAGGCGAAAATGTCTATAAATTTTATATCCTATATCAAGTAAGTAATCAGGGACTAATTCGAATAGAAATTTGAAAATCTCTTGCTAGGATAAACATCCATAATAAACTGTAGTATTTGTTCACAGTTGTATAGTTGATATAGGGAAGTAAAGCCACCAGAAAATACACTGCTGTCTATTATAATTTATAGATAGGAAGAGAAGATAAACACGTTGCCCTACTGGATTCTGCATATTCTTCTGTCATTTCGTCAAAATGATTAACGCTTAATTGATTTACGCGTGTCAAATAGAGAGAGGTGCAAGAAACAATAATAGGAAATCTTGGGAAATATTTGAATGGTTTAATGTTTATTATTACTAAATAATAATAATAATTATTATTATTAATGAAATACTATTTGGAGAGAAATTTCTAGTTTAGGAACAAAAATGTTATCAGAACTGAAAAAGAATATTACTATTAATAACGTATTGACGAATAATCAAATTGAGCATCGGATTTTCATTCTTCTTTTATAACTTTATTCTTTCGCATCCTAAGTGGATTATAGGGCTTCGAGTATTTGTGACGCTTGCTTTTACGGAATCAGGTTTTGATAGCCTCACCTACAACCTTCTTTCCTCAACGGGCCTAACACTGAGTAAACGAGATCATAGATAATGTCAACCGAGGATCAAACCCTCGAAGACCACGTGATGTGTGGTTCATGAGTACTCTCTACCAGTGAACTACTGACGCAGAAGGTTAGTGCATAGTAAACAGGCAAATTGGAACTCTGTTCAATCAGTTGAAATACAATTATGTGTATGTAAATCATAGGCTGGGGGGGGGGAAGGGGAGAGGAAATGGCACTCAATAAGGAAACAACGACAGCTAGAAAAGAGGAAGGAAATTCTGTTTTGTCTTAGGTCTTAACATCTCTGTATGCCATCAGACTTTATCTATCATATCCTACACCTATACATGATAAAAATAAATAACACATTACAACAGAATACATTGTATGAACAGTTGATCAATTTTGTGTGACTGACTGGTTTCAACATAGAACTACTTTGCACATATGTCCACCAGTTCAACTCGACACACTCCCTTATTCTACCACACAAACCAAGAGAACAGACCAAACATAGATTCAAAACAGAGATAGAAGACAGAAGTGTGAATGAGGGAGAGAGAATAGGAGTTATATGGAAAAGTAATAGACTTTTATTGGATATGACAAATCACTCACAAAGAGTGGGGAATGAATCTGTGCCATCATCGAGAACGACTACTTTCAACCATATCACCGATTGTCTGTCTCCACAGCCATCAATGGTTTTTGACATCCTGAAGACCCTAACTAGCCATCCAGCCAGCCAATCTGCACCTCCGTACGTGGTTGGCCGGTTCAAATTAACTGACTGATGAAGGCATTACTTCGATTGACCACTAACCACTAGCTATCTCTTTTCCAACCTCATCGAACCGATGTCAGTCAGCTAACATTGCCTAGGCATGCATGCGTAGCACATGTCCTAACCATCCCTATCAATCGATGCACCTAATTCAAAACCTTGTCGATTGATTTCCACCTCCTTATCTAACACTCGACTAAAGCCTAATCACCTCAATATTATTCACCTTACTACATCTACCACATAACACAAGAAACAGAAGGCAGACATCTATGATCAAAGACAGCAAACCAGCCTCTTCATGTCTTCTACTTTCAATGACCATGTCTTATAGACATATAAGGGCGACGACGAAACAAGTCATGAGTCATGGGACTCCCAGAAAAAAAAATCTTTTTCCAAAATTACCTAATGTAAGAGAAGTCTTGTTACACACCAACCAAATAACTTGGCTATGCATTTTGTAATGAAACACAATTTCTGTCTAAAACATGTGACGACAGTATAAACAGACTACCGTCTCTCCAAACCTTCGAAAATTGTATCCCAATTCAAACATATGACTCAATTGGTGGATGGTGACTAGCAGTGGAATCCAGGAAAACACGCATTTCGTCCTATTTGAGACTCGTGGTCAGCTGGATGTATCTGCATTTCCCAGTCAGTGAGTGATGATGTTCCCACTACTGAGGCTCGAATCCAGTGCCCATAGTTTCAAACGCCAAAGCGTTAACCACTAGACCACTTGTGCCACGAGAGCCACCTCTTGTGCAACGGCTCATATTAATTTAATTGAGCCTCGGTGGGAACATCATCACTCACTTAAGAATGCAGCTACATCCAGCTGACGAGTCCCAAATAGGACGACATGCGCATCCTGGATTCCACTGCTAGTCACCATCCACCAATCAACCTATAATTGCATGCCCAGACATAGTCGAAGCATCTGCACAAGAAGCCGACATGTCAACCTGAGACCGAGCACTTCGGTCCAATCAATCGACAGGAAAATCTCAAATTCAATTAAAATATAACTCATTGTTCGAAATTAAAGTGTGAACAGATTCACTAAATAGAAAACAAAAGATCTTGCTAAGTAATAATAAACTCCGCACTCTGCAAAGTGTAAATCATATCGAGAAGTTCCTTAAGCATTACAATTTGAAAGCAAGCGAATGAATGAAAGTATAGACGAACTAATGAGACAACGGTATGTGTGTATATATATGTGTACTAGTGAACTACTTAATTAACAGAGATTCATTGATTGATCGATTGACTGATAGACAATAAAAGAATTACTTGGGTAGATGTTAAAACTGTCATAAATAGAGATGAATAATGATGTTGATGGTAATGTCTATACTACTTAAAATACACGTGGGAGTACTTCACACATAGTGTGTGTGTGTGTGCAGAAAATCCAATAAAAGGAAGGAACATGCAGCAATAAAATCATACAATAATCTAGAATTAACTCACTTTTACTTTGATGTAATGATCCATTTTGATTGGATTTGGAATTGTTATTATTACTATTATTACTACTTTCAACACCATTAGTTTTATCTGTAAATGATTTAACAACACTTGATGAGGTAGTTTTATCTTCAACAATTTCTGAGGACTGATGACGATGGTTAGTATTATTATTATTGTTATTATTATTATTATTATTCAATAGAGTATTGCCTGCTATTGATTGTGAAGGTGACGATGAAATGAAACTACTTGCTGGTAAGGTTAATCTTGTCTTAGGATCAGCTAATAATAAATAGATCGCTGTAACATTATTGAAACTTTGCTTTATTAGAGCTTCACGTACATCCTCAGGACGATAACCCATATTACGCATAATTTCTAAAATTATATATAATAATAATAAATAAAATCAGCTGAGAGAATTCAACAGTTGTTAAATGAACTTTAAAAAAAACAATCAATACTAGAAAAACTTTTCCAGAGATCACTTCTTATCTCATTGATCACAACAATGAAGACTTCATCATGTGGTCAGGTATAGCGACGAGACAAGATCAATGCTGTACTGCTTACAGAAAGTGATCAATGCAAGCAGTATCTTTTCTCTTATTCGCATGTTTGTCTGTCTGTCGGTTTACATCATAGACCTTTGCATCGATGTGCAACAATTCAAGTCGCCACACTCCCTCCTTGTAGCACACAAAGCAAGAGAAGAAAGTAGAAGAAATGCATAATAGAGACAGTAAACAGAGGTGTGAGACAAAGGAATAGTAATAACGAAGAACAATATAGTTTTATGGGGTCACAAGGAGTGAATGCATCTTCACCAGCCATTGAGAACGATTTTGAGCCATGTCACCAGTTGTTTCCAGCCTTCATTGGTTTTTAGCGTCCCGAGGACCCCAACCAGTCAGGAAGCCAGTCTACACCTTCCTACGTGGCCGGTTGGCTTAAAATAACTGTTGTGGATTTCATTAACTGATGAAGCCATGTTTTGGTCTGACCACCACTAGCTAACTCTTTTACAGCCTGACCCAACGTCAGCTAACAATGCTCTTCGTCGAGGAAGGTGATGACTAGAAACATATGTAACACATGTCTGAAACATCTCAGTCGATGTAACTTCACAGTTTCGTCAATCGATTTCCCCTCCATATCTAGCACTCCACAAAAAGCCTAACCTCAACATCGCCCACCCTATTATACATACAGCTTAACACAGGAGACAGAACTCAGACACCTATGATCAAAGACAGCTAGTCGGCCTTTTCATGTCTTCCACTCTCAATGGCCAGGTCTTATTTGCATAGAATTTATCTAAAAATTCGATAGATGATTAGACACTGACATTTAACATCAATAGAAGCCACTGTCTTCTTCTGCTGCATTTCTGTCGAGAATCTTAACGAAACATATCGTGCATCATAAGCAGTTGTGTCAAAGACTGACTGAGTTCCAGTACAAAACTTTGCACAGAAGTGGACTACTTCAAGTTGCCACACTCGATAAAGCACACAGACGGTAGAAAAACAGAATTATATAATAACCGAAAATGTGTAGGATAAAGACTGTTTGTGACATGGAAAGACTTGAGAATTTGATAAATCTAAAACTAAATTACAAAAAGTGAATATACCGAGAACGACGAATTTGAGCTATAGCACCGATAGTCTCTCCAACCATTGATTATTACCATCCGAAGGAAATCAATCAGGCAGTCCACAACTACCAAAGTAGCTCAGATCGATTGTGAAGTTCTTCACGCATTGATGGCGAGTTTTCGTCTGACTATCGACGCCTAAGTTTTTTTCCAAACTTAATTCTATGTAAGCTAACACTATCCGAAAAAAAGAACAGCGCTGGTACAGCATGCGTAAAAAGTGTCCTAGCCATCCAAAACAATGTAGCTTTACGACCTGATCAATTAAGATAAGATAAGCTTTATTCCAAATCAGTACTTGTGATACAGAATGGAATTCTCAGCATTTTTACTACAATATTGCATCCAGTTAGTAAGTCAACAATAAATAAAGTTCTACATAGATTAAAGTTATCTCAGTCAGTTTTGACAACAACATATTAGCATGTCGGTAGCAAAGCCAAAATTTAAACAGAGTGTTTGAAGGTGTTAGAAAAGTAGATACTACTAGCATATTTACTGGCTTAAGCGATAGCAAAATGGTCAAGATATACAGAGAGTGAAAGAACGAACAAGAATGTTTTAAGTAGAGTTTGCAAGGAAGAGAGAAACAAAGCAGCACATAACAAAAATAAATACAGAATGAAAAAAAATGGTAGAGAGAAAACGTTGTACCTGTAAACGATGTGAGTTGGAAAGACGAGATCCAGTTGTTCTACTGACTATTTAATAAGTTAAAGGTTTCATGCCTAATGCATTCTTTATCGCACAGAACACGGACTAGATAGGGTATGGATGACTTTTTGTACTTGCTAGTGCGGGCATATAGTTTCCTATATAGGCTTCTGGTTTTCCCTGAAGACATACATGGGGAGAGTTGTGAATGTAGAGAGTGTTGTGAGTCAGATAAGATGGATTTCGCCCATTTTTCACATGAGTCCATGTGCCTGTCCACCAGAATATCAACAAGCTGGCTAAGTGGCAAACTGCTTACCCTGCTGACAATCTTTAACATCCTACGTAATAAGGTATAGTCTTTCTTCAATAGCCCAGGAAAGACTAAGGGGGAACAATAGAGAATAATAGGCAGAATACGGAAGTTAACAAATTGTAGGAGTAAGGGTTGGGTTATACCAGAATGTCTTAACTTCTTGATGTAGAAGGTAAGACGGGATATTTTCTTGGAAATCGTCAAGATATGAGACGACCCGGAAAGATCAGAAGATAAAGTGACGCCTAGGTATTTAATTTCTGACTTGGTTTCAATTTCAGTGCCATCAATGTTGCACACCTCGTGAGTCCTAACCAGTTTTTTTAGGTCAGATTTGTGCCTAAAGGTGAAATTAACTGTTTGGCATTTGGAGGGGTTTAAGATGAGACCGTTTTCCTTGGACCATTCGCTGATTTCTGATAAGAAGCCATTTAGTTTAGAGCAGTCACTTTGACATTTGACAGGTAAAGATACAGTTAGGTCATCAGCATATTTGACAAAGTTAATGTCATTTGAAGATGGCAGGTCATGTAGGAAGAATGAAAAGAGAAGTGGGGAGAGTACAGCACCTTGGGGGACACCAGCTTCAGTGAGCACAGCAGAGGAGGATTCGCCTTTGTATACGGTGTACTGCATTCTGTTTGAAAAGTAGGAATTGACTTCCTTAGTTTACCTAGCACATTGAGTATAACCTCAATATCACCCAACATATTATACCATTTAACTAAAAAAGTTCATAATTGTAAAGAGGAATCAACAGTGGTGAATAAAAAAGCCACAGTACGTTATTATTTTGTTCAGCTACCCAGAAGATATGCTTCATCCACTAAACTACGAGACGCACTCATTGTGTGGGAGATGATAATACTACGCTTTTATAATTATTCCTTTGGTTTCCTAGTGGAACATAGGCCGTAAACAACACATTCTCCACTTTTTTTGATTGAATAGTAGTCAGTAACTAGTGTAATGTTTCTAGTCCTATCTGAGGTGCAGACTGCATTATATCAGTCAAGTTTCCAATGCGGCCACACTATTCTAGGTGATTCGCCATTATAGTACACTGTGAATTATTGGAGTTGGATGGTTGAAGGCAATCGGAAGGAAGCCCCTCGCTTCACCTAAGTTTCGTTCTCGTTGGCACTCATCAACAAGGCGTATCTGCAACATTGAAAGGAACTCATGTCCCCCCCCACCTCCTTATGAGGTTCGAACCCATGTTACCCAGTGCCGACTGCAGTCAGAGACGTTATCACTAAGCTATTCAGGCCCGCAATTGACCTCTTGTACGGATTGTATTAGAAATTTTGATTGGACACTAGTCAGGAACTAGTGCGATGTGTCTAGTCCTATCTGTGGTCCAGAGTGAATTCTATCAGTAGACATCGGCATTTTGTTCTAATCGCTGCCGTGTCTTCTTCAGCCGGCTAACCACATAATTGCGCATAATCTCTCATCTCCTCCTCATCATCATACAGTCTCCTCGATGTCCTCCACACATCACTTCCTATTTAAATTCCACTCGAGTGATAGCCTGTATTGCACGCGATATCTTTTGATGGCCTCATCAACGTATACTTGATAAACTCATCTCTATTTTCTCCTACACATTTGCTGCGCAATCGGCTCTTAGTTGGTTTCTTGTTAAATCAAATGGAATGGGCCGCTGTGAACCAAAATCAATACTCATTGGATGAAAGGTGAATATTTACGCCAAAAAATCAATAAATAATCAGTTCAATTAAAAAAATGTCATAATATTATTCAAAAGAAGAAGAAAAAATTAATGTAAGAAAAAAAATCACAAGCGTTATCAGCTGACTAACTCTCTCTCTCTCTTTGACTTTTTTTAGCAACACAGTAAACAAAATCCACTTTCATGTTTATTAACCGATCAAAATGACACAAAGTGTTCAAAGTTAATGATGATAGTAATTATTGTAATTAGTTATACTAGTTAAATGACAATATATATATTGTAAATGATGCAAATAAGTTGCTTTAAAGATTATTATTATTATTACATGAATAAAAAAAGGTAAAACAATTTATTCTATGAAAAAGCGCTGTTCCACTGGTACACATCTGTATTTAAATCATTCAAACTTTAATAGACTGACTGGCTCACTTTGCACAGAAGTAAAACAGTTTAAGTTATCACACTCTATGCAGAGAATATAAAGGGATAGAGAAGAAATATACGGTGGGAAAGTATAAGTATTTGCTTTTTGGTACAAGAGATCACAAAGAATAACCTGTATCTCTGAGTCGCCAGTGAGAACCATTTTCAGCTTTCATTGGTTCATACCATCTCCAGGATCCCCCCGTGACTATCTCAAACCAACTGTCATGGATCCTATATTTTGATGTGACCACGCTTAAACTCTTTTTTCTACAACCTAAACCCATGCCAGCTAAAATAGCTCGACAACACAAAGCATTGGGCTCAGTATGTGCAACATATAAACCCAAATAGAGTTATTTAATTCAATTTCAGACTTTCCCGTCGATTAATTGAACCGAAGTGCTCGGTCTCAGGTTAACATGTCGGTTTCCTGTGCAGATGCTTCGAAGATGTCTGGGCATGTAATTGGAAGTTAATTCGTGGCTGGTGACTAGCACTGGAATCCGGGACAACTCGCACTTCGTCCCACTTGGAAATCGCAAGCTGGATGTACCTGTATTCCGCAGAGAATGATGATGTTTCCACGGAGGCTCAAACTCAGTGTCCATAGTTTTAAACCTGAGACTGAGCACTTCGGTCCAACCGATCGACGGGAAAATCTAAAATTGAATTAAATAATCAATATGAACCTTTGCTCTCATGGCACAAGTGGTCTAGTGGATGACGCTTTGGCGTTTGAAACACTGGGCACTGGGTCCGAGTCTCGATGGGAAGATCATCACTCACTTCGGATTGCAGGTACATCCAGACGATGAGTTCCAATTACGACTGAATCCGTGTTGTCCTGGATCCCAATGCTAGTCACCATTCACGAATACACTGCTAATAGAGTTTAGTTAGTTTACCCAAGCTAAACAGTTGTTTAGTTCACAATTTAAAATACCAAGAGAATATTTTGACTGAGCAAACGAAAAAATTTAAGCTATTATTATTATGTCAAAAATTCTACAGTGATGATGTATCACACCTTTTTGTAGATGAGTGTAACCAACATCGTTTCTCATTTAGCTTAACCCATTTTAGGACTGTTTTGGAAAAGAAATTAGAATAAAGCTAAGTACGTAGGTTTCAAAACATATGAGTAGGAGTGTGTTTAGGAAATTTCTTTCTCTGTCCTGCATTCCACTTTTTCTTAATCATTTTCTTATTGTTTCCTTTCCTTTCAATATAACTCTATCTAGGTTAGTGAGGTACTCAGATTTGAATTTGTTACTGATAATTAATGTCTAAGATCAGTTATGTATTAGTTACTTTAGGCATAACCTGCTCTCAATTGTGAAACGCACCAGTGAATACTACTCACTATGCGGATAATAAAACCAACTGATGGACCACACAGCGATAGCCTATACTTTCGATGAGGTATGAACAGATTGTATGTAGTCATGAGAGTAAGTTCATGAAGAGTAATGTCGATGTTTACGATTGCGATATATTGCAACCACTGGTTCTTAGCTCTCCTTTACCGACATCAAGGCATGTAACTCAGAACAAAATACTTTAGACTTCAGGTTTAACTATCCCTTACACTCTATCAACCTAAATAATTCGAATTCAAGTGTTAGTTTATGGGGATTTGAAACTATTGGTTACACGATTCCATCATGAGCTGACATCGGTTAGAGAACCACTAGAAAACCAGCACCGGAGTATTGGACAACTAAGGCTTTTCAGCAGTACGCACCCGCTGCCAGAGTTAGAAGCTACGACCTCCAGTTACAAGGCAAGCTCATAGACTATTAGGCTAGTGGAATCGGAATCACTAGCCAGCCCATGAATTCCAAACTCTGTCGATTCACGACATGAAACCCAGCAACCAATCAAATCAAATCCCTGCAAACCAACACTTCGATATTAACCTGACGTTCATTGGCAAATGGCTCTCTATTCAGGTAGGTAGTTACCCGGGTTTCTAGTGGGAAGTCGTGACCAGTGAGGTACAGCAGGTCGGTTGTGAGGACAAATACTCACCACCGCGGATGACATTGATTAGTAGTCGTGTTATGTCAGAAATTGGAATTCATTGACTGACCATTGGATTGAGTCCCAGTAGCTACTGAATGGTCTACGAGCTCGCTCGCCTTGTAACCAGAAGCGGTTCGGGGTTGTATCCCAGGCCACAGACACACTCCTTCTTTTACCTCGTCAAACCAGTAAATAAGACTGGTAAAGAGGAAAGGTTGGGCAGAGGGCTAGTAACCACATCCTGTAAAAATCAATACCACTGCTAACGAAACTTCAGAGCTGTAGCTTGAAGGCGAATGTTCCCCCTGCGAACGTAAAGGAATATAATGACCGATGGAGAAAACCTGAACCTTTTATTTATCACCATCAAATGGTATAGTGTGTAATAGTTTTTCCTGGTTTCAAAACGTCCAACTAACCAACTAACTTTTGTTACCCATTATCTTAGTGTCAATAGGTTGTTGGGAATTATTCATAAAACGCTTCAACATCATCATCATCATCATCATTACATATTCACAGGTGTATAACTTGTAATCAAACTTTTAAAGGAGAGGGTCATTGACAGGGAGGATGTGGGGGTGAGTAGGGTGGGAATTTATACTTCACTAACTAGTAAAGCCAACTAACTTAATATTGGTGGATAATGCATTAATAAAAACAAGAAAACTAAGAAAAAAGAAGACGAAATTTATCAATATGCCATTCCAAAATATGCCTTTTTTTCCCAATGGACTAATAAGATCCATAGGAACTGTGATCAAAATTTGATCGGATAGTTGCAAAATAATTGAGCGCTGAGTGAGAAGTAGACATTTGTAAAAAATTATATTTGTAAAATCTCAGCGAAATTGAAATGATTAATTCCAACGTTTCGTTCGGCAATCTGGTCCGAACTTCTTCAGGGAAATTAATCGAAATTAACATAACACAATTTAAAATACCAAGAGAATATTTTGACTGGTCAAACGAAAAAAATTTAAGCTATTATTATTATGTCAAAAATTCTACAGTGATGATGTATCACACCTTTTTGTAGATGAGTGTAACCAACATCGTTTCTCAGGTCAAAAAGTTTTTGATCATAGTTCATACAATTTTTGTTTTTGTTTCGTTTTGTTTTGTTTAGTATACCTATTGATTCATATTTAAAAATAAGAGATTTACTTTTATATAAACATACAATTCTATTTATTTATTTATGATACATGTTGATACCTGTTGCACGATTCATGATTGGATAAGAATTTTAAAAACAAGATGTGTCCCTTTATATATAAACTTTGTTATGTTAATTTCGATTAATTTCCCTGAAGAAGTTCGGACCAGATTGCCGAACGAAACGTTGGAATTAATCATTTCAATTTCGCTGAGATTTTACAAATATAACTTTATAAATGACTAATAAGATCATCTAAATTATTAAATTATAGATTATTGTTCCATAGATTCCTTGTTTAATCAAGCAGTATAGGTTGGTTGATATGCAAATTCAGTAATATTAAACCACACTCGTGTGTAAGAGAATTTACTAGTCTCCATCTTATATGATAGACGTATTGTTCATTGTCAAATGTGTCAAATATGTACAATTGGTTATTGAATTTTATAAACTCTATTTTACTTTGCATTGTACTTTTATTTTTTAAATATTGAAAAACACACAGATTGGTATTTTAATTTTTTTTTTTTTAAAAAAACTGCTATGAAAATCAACTGTGGGGAGCGAGGAGATAGGAATACGCTAGACGACCGATAAGAAGACTCTAGAAGATCTGGGTTTCGTGAGTGGATGGCATACAAACTTGATGAATTACAGGTGAAAACCGACAAACATGGTGAAGAGGAGGGCAGTGAAGACAAGACTTCAGGTGAACACAGAGAAGATGGAGGTGATGAAGATAACCAACCAACCAACCACCACCACCACCACCACCACCACCAGCAACAACGACAACCAGCACCAATCACCACCAACAGGAAAGATTTGACAGAGGTCACTTCCTTCACTTATCTGGACAGGCAACATCGTTTTATCAACCACAGACCAGAGGCACGAATAAATATGTAAAAACCAGCGACAATCGGAAAGGAAAGGAAAGGAAAGGGAAGATATGTCTTCACCAACCTGAAACCAGTTTCCAAATCGTCTACACTCAGCCTCAGAATAAACTACAACATTCGGATTCTCAACACATATATCAAATCAGTCAGTCAGACAGTCATTCTCTATGGGTCAGAAACACGACCAGAACGTCACGAAAACCATTTCCAACAGGCCACAACAGACTTTTATCAACAGCTGCCAAATTCACTGGTTGGCTCCTTACTCCAGATCAAATGGCTGGCTGGCCAAAAAGAATTAGCAACAAGAAACCCTGGCTGGCTGACAACAAACAACCAAGGGCCGATTGCTCAACAAATATATGGGAGAAAATGGAGACGGGTTGATTAGGTACACATTGAGGAAACCGCCGAATGACATAAATGTTTTACACCTAGCAACTCATACGGGAGATAGCACAAAGGCACCTGTGATCAAAGGCAGCTAGTCAGACCCTTCATGTCTTTGACTTTCAGTGTCCAAGTCTAACTGACAGACACAGAAATGAGGACGGACTTGCCAACTATGCATGTGGTCTGGATTTCTATCCCCGAACATCGTTTAGCTGTTAATCGGCCCAACAAGGAGAGCTTAGCTTGAGACTAACGGCCCCATGCCTGTAAAAATAAAACCACTACTGATGGAACTTCAATGAATAAAATCCACGAAAAAAGTGGAAACAAGACAACAAAAACAACGCACACGCACACATACGCAAACAAGATAAACTTAAAATAACTTACCCAATCTCTCTTTATCATTGTAATCAGGCGGTGGTTCAACATACGGTTTTAAAATATTGTCTTCATAGCCAATATTTAACCACTTATCAGACATAACATTCTACAAAAATGAGTAAAAAAAGTTAATTTATTAATGCGTGAGCAACAACAGTGAATACAAGAAAAAATTCTCATTATTATTAACATCATCATCAATGTTAGATGAATCGATGTGTAAGATTTCAACTATAAATTTGTCTAAGAAGAATTGCACTTGAAGATGTTTGATGTCAATCAAGGAGACAAGGAGATAAGAAGACAAGACACCTACGGAAATAACCTTAACACTTTTTCACTTTAGAATAACACTCAAAGAAAGAGGAGAGTAGTGGGGGGGGGGGATACCGTAACAGGAAATCACGAGACTCTTTGTACAACGATTCGTAAGGTGTATCTGTCTGTCTGTTTTCGACATTGAACTTTGCACCGATGTGCACCAGTTCAAGTCCCCACACTCCCTCCTTGTAGAACACAAAGCAAGAGGAGAAAGTAGAAGAAATGCATAATAGAGACAGTAAACAGAGGTGTTAGACAAAGGAATAGTAATAACGAACGAAGAACAATATAGTTTCATTGGAAATCATAAATCACAAGGAGTGGATGCATCTTCACCAGCCATTGAGAACGATTTTTAGCCATGTCACCAATTGTTTCCAACCATTGGTTTTTACCGTTCCCGAGGACCCCAACCAGGAAGTCTACATCTTCCAACGTGGCTTAGACTAACCGCTCCAGATTTCATTGACTGTTTCCATGTTTTGGTTTGAACACTACTAGCTAGCTCTTTTCCAGCCTGATCCTATGTCAACCAACATTACCCATTCGCCGAGGAAGTCGATGACTAGGCATACGTAACACATGTCCTAACCATTTCAGTCGATATAACTTCACAACCTCGTCGATTGATTTACCCTCTCACCTATTTAGCACTCGACCCAGGCCTAACCTCAATATTGCTCACCTTATTACACGTACCACTTCACACGGGAGATAGAACGCAGGCACCTATGATCAAAGACAGCCACTCTCAGGTGTATGCTATGTGTTAACAATGGGGTCTAAATGAAATAAGTTAACAACCTATGAAAAATGTGTTAAATCCACCGTCACACTAGCGGAGAACAACATCGTACACATAAAAAAGATTACCTATTTAATCCTCAAGTGTTGGTTTGCAGAAATTTGATTGATTACAGATTCGATCACAAGCCGACATCTGTTAGACAACCATTGGAAAAAAAACCTAGGAAATACTGGACAACAGTTTCATCCTAGTTGAGGACTCTTCATCAGTGCGCACTCACCACGACGGTTCGCACCTAGAACTTCCAGGCTACAAAGTAAGCTGTAGGCCATTCAGCCACCCAGACGTAATCCAATAGTCGCAATAGATAAAGTCTAGTTGCAATTATTCACCATACCCTAACTTTTGTTCCGCTCTATTATTCTCATATCATGAAAAGCAACAGAGGAAATAATTACGGTGATATCCATAATGCGCAAACTTCAAAAAATACAACTCGTCAATAACTTCCTCCTCCAGTTTTAGGTAAGGAAGGGGAATCAGTCGACGAGGCTGTGAAATTACATCGACTGAGATGGTTAGGACATGTGTTACAGATGCATGCCTAGCCATCGGCTTCCCCAACAGCAAGCAATGTTAGCTGACATAAGGTCAGGTTGGAAAAGAGCTAGCGGCGGTCGAACCAAAACATGGCTCCACGAGTCAATGAAATCCACAACAGTTAGTTAAAGCCACATAGGAAGGTGTAGACTGGCTTCCTGACCGGTTGGGGTCCTCATGACGGTAAAAACCAATGGAGGCTGGAAACAATCGGTGACATGGCTAAAAATCGTTCTCAATGGCTGGTGAAGATGCATCCACTCCTTGTGATTTATGATTTCCAATGAAACTATATTGTTCTTCGTTCGTTATTACTATTCCTTTATCTAACACCTCTGTTTACTGTCTCTATTATGCATTCCTTCTACTTTCTCCTCTTGCTTTGTGTTCTACATGGAGGGAGTGTGGGGACTTGAACTGGTGCACATCGGTGCAAAGTTCAATGTCGAAAACAGACAGACAGACATATACTTTATAAAAGGATGAAAGTATTGTGCTCAAGTTGGCTATGATAACTAGATAACATCACACAATATTGAACCAGATAGGATACACAGTTGTTGTTTGTTTTTTTATCGATTAAATGTCAATCTTCAAAATAGAATAATTTTTCAAAATGTTAAATACTGTATATTAAGTCGTTATCTATCATCAGAGTAAATTGCTTACAATTTTACTGAAACAATAAAGCATATATATATATATAGACAGAAAGAAAAGGTAATAGACCCCATCTGTACACACTAAAATACCATCTGAATAAGCCCTATGACATTTCAGGTTAATTCTTAATCTCTTTCATCATAAAATTAATCTGACGATAATCCATAAAATAAACGTGTAGGGGTAAAACAAAAATGATAAAACAAAAGACTTATGAAATATTTTGTGTATAACGAGAGAGAGAGAAAGACAGAGGTTGAGGGAACACATGTAATGCATACTTCGAGGAGATAGACCATCGTGTGCGAAGTTCAACAATAGCGTCTCAGGATTACGAACGCTCTATCGCCCTTGAACGCATGTTATTCGTTGACTGACGGCAGCTGTTATTATCATAGCCGAAATATCAACGATATTTACCTACATCTAGTAGCGAATTTCACCCAGATCACGTTTTTAAGTGTTACCTCGTTAGGGTAAAGGATTAAGGTTAAGGTAAGTATACATATATACAATACGTGAATACAAGTATTTGCGCTATACATTTCGAACAATCTGATCTCTCACACATTTACTTGTCAAGTGGATATATATATATATATATATATATATATATATATATATATATATAACATTTTATACCAGAAGAAAAAGTCAGCAAGCGTGACGAAAATAATTTTATTTGTATTTAATTGGTGGATGGTGACTGGAAGTGGAATCCAGGAGGCACATTTCGTCCTATTCGGGACTCGTCCTCTGGATGTACCTGCATTTCTCAGTGTGTGATGATGTTCCCACCGATTCCACTGCTAGTCGCCATCCACCAATTCAATTCTGATTACATGCCCAGACATCGTCGAAGCCTCCGCACAAGAAGTCGACATGTCAATCTGAGACCGAGCACTTCGGTTCAATCAATCGAAAGGAAAATCTAAAATTCAATTAAATCTTATTTGTAGTTATTAATTTAGATAAACACATCACGGAATAAAATGAAAACGATTATGCTGGAAAATTGTAATCAGACGACATTAACGTCAGTCACAACCACCTGCAGATAATTGTTGTTTTGGCTGATTTTATTTCGTCTGAATATTCCACACAAGAGCTACTCTGGTCAGACTAAAAATTATAAACGTATCGTTGAGTGAATTAAAGAGAATTCCATGACTGAATTTCTATTCATTGCCTTGGTGAATTTTTTTTGTTTTCTTAAAGCTGTGTCTGCATATATGTATGTATGCTTGTGTATGTGTGTGTGCGCGCACGCACGCGTCATTCAATTCTTCTTATCTTATTTTGTTTTGTAAATAATTATTTTAGGATTATATTCCCAATCTCATCGCTTCTTTATTTACTACTTTATTTACCCTCTTATAATCATAATCCATGAATGTAGTAGTCGTTAAAGTCATTAAAACATCCCTTTTATTGTTCTATCCCCTTTAATTTCATCCCAATAGACGCACATGATCAATGATATACATATACGTCACCTCATTCTCTACTACATAAGGCTCCTATAAAGATCAGTATTCTAAGGATAACTTATACAATTGAGTAAGTTTTTTCCTCTTTATTTTGGATTGATTTTCTAGTTAGACTGTTCATCTTAAAGATAATATGAACATACTACTGTTCCCTTGGGTTCCGAGTGGGAATATAAGGTTTCAACATCACCACATTTCCACTTTGTTCAATTTTCTGCTGTGCTCTTTACAGCTGGTCCCACAAATGACCAAAAGTCTGTCATCTCCACCGATTTGTATGGTCTCCTTTGTGTGATACACGTCTAACTTGTCGCAATGGCAAGATGTCATTTGACGGTCTATTCAACGTGTGTCTAATCCATCACCACTTTTTTCTACATATTTGTTGAACATTAGATTCTTGGTTGTTGGTTTGTTCCCATAGTTTCTGGTTGTTAATTCTTTCTGACCAGCCAGTGAAGACAGTTGTCAATGCTGGTGAACATTGCATAGTATGTTTATTCAACTAGTCTCCATTGGCGGAAGACGAGAAGACTGTCATTGTTTAATCGTGTACTGGTTGGCAGAAGATTTTTTTATTGTTCATTCCTTCACATTCCCAGTGGAACATATGGGGCTTCAAGCTAGAGGTTTGAAGTTTCTGTAGCAGTGGTGATTATTTTTACAGGATGGGGTGGCTAGCCTCATGTCTAAGCTTCTCCCACTTTAGCAGTCTTATTGCCGGTTTAGCGAAGTAGAGAAGGAGTGCGTCTGTCGAACCTTGGACCACCGGTGTGATCAGAGAGGACTCTACTGCTGTGCCACCGACGCCAGAAGTATCATTGTACATTATATTAACGTTTATTTACAGACTTTGGCATTGATCAACCACTGTAAATCTGTTTCGTTATCGCTTGACAAATAAACAGTCAATCGTGTTGTCCAATCGTTTTCTGTTGTTCTGTGACGGTTACAGTGCAAAGTATTCTGAGTATTAGGCTTAGTCTTCTGAAAGTGGTGATAAGTCCAGGATATCTGAGATCTGGACATTTGAAATTCTGCTGTAACCTACTGGAAATGCTTCTCGCAACGTGACAAGTTTCAGAGCAAAGGAATATATATCCCATAATAACTGATTAAGCTATAAACTTTATGTCTACTTTTCCTAAGTGTTGGATTTGTGGGTATTCCATTGACTTTAAGGGTAAGTTTAGCCACGAACCGAAATTAGTTACAGAATCACAAAAAAAGATAAAAAAAAAAGGAAGAAAGCTGAACCAACACCATTTCGTTCAGGTCAAGGAA